GGTTGATTGACCGCTGTTATTTTGTCATTACAGGGAAAATCATAGCGAAATCGAGAGGAGGAGAAGAAACAAGATGACTGCTTATATCACCGAACTGTCCGACATGGTTCCCACTTGTAGCGCCTTAGCCCGAAAACCTGATAAATTAACCATTTTACGGATGGCCGTTGCTCACATGAAAAGTCTACGAGGTTCGTACACAAATTATTTATAGAATAATGTGTATTTTATTAGTTTTTTTTCTATATTACTGATACATGACCTATAACTAGTCGAAATTCGAGATTGCTGAGAAATATAGTAATAAATGTTTAGTAGAAATTTTGGGGAGAAAATTGCCGATTTAGAAATGACGGATGCTCTCATGGAAGACCTAAAGCAATGCCATTTGTCATTCCAAACTGAAGCAATATCATTACGTGTCAAACATCGCCGACGTGTCGTAATTTATTTTTTTTGGCGAATGACTTATAAGCAGTAACAGTTGGCTGGTTTGTACAGAACTACAAAAATAACATCTTATAGCCGCTTGTATGTCACTGTTAAATATTGTAACGATGCTTTTAAGATTATTTGGAGCTGGCGTTCGTCCGTTCATACATAAATCATTACGTTGGACCCGGATAAAGTAGCTTAGCCACTTTGTTGGCAAGAGAAATAAAACGCGATAAGGCTCGGTTTTTCTTCCTTTGTTATTTAGATGTATACAATCCCCGAATATATAATAGGTGAAAATATCCGAAAGAACGTTTTTAAAAGAGAAACGGCATTCGATCTCAAAAAAGGAGCGAAACCAAATATTGAGGGGAAATTTAAAGGTAGATTCTTAAGCGGATATATTACCTACAGTATTATAATTTTATAAATGTATAGGATATTCTTCTGTAATAACGAAGTGAATTGATCGGGGGTGAGCTGCGTGTTGCCACCACACAATACCGAAGCAAAGAGGCGCACGCAGACCCGGCCGTTCCCATCGCTGCTGCTGCGGTAGAGTCTACGCTATTCATCATGCGACTTGATCGGAAAGTGGCTAGAATTGATTACGGTGCACAGCTGATGGACGTATTGCATGCAGCTAATCGTTTTATTGGCCACTCGCTCTTCTAATTGAACCGACAACTCTCTGCCTCATCTCTAATTGGAGGTTTGTTCGCTCAGTGCGGTGGCCGGCTTAAAAGAAATTGCCTGTCGCTACATCTGTTTCCCCGTCCGCATTTAGTTTGATTAAATAAACGCATCGATATAAAAGTAAAATAAAATTCGAGCGGTAAAAAAAAATTGATATGTATCTGGCGTCTCGAATATTTTATTAAAAAATTCCACCAATTTCGTTAGATCTCTTAACACGCTGATTCTTGAGCTTAGTCTTTGACGACGCGGGAAAAAAAACGCGACGTTAATTTTTGTTTCGTCCATCACGTTTGCAGACGTGTGCAACTGCTAGATTCGCGGAATTGTCGCGTGCATCTTTTATTCAATCTCCCGACTACCGAACTAGTCTTTTTTCCCCCTCCTCCTTTTTCCATTTTAACTCGGTGGTTCCAATCGAACGTAATTTGGCTGTTTGAATGCCTTTGACCTTTGCCATCCGAGCCTAGGCGTGGTCGATCGAAAGTAGCGAAACTAACAGCTCTAGTATTAACTATCGGTATCTTGATTGTGTGCACACGCGATCTCTGTACTAGGTCGATGGCATTCTGCATAGTGCAGCTTTAATCAATTTCTTTGACTGTGTTACTAACGTGGGGACGACGAAACCGCATCTGTTATATTTTCCTGGCAAAAGGCGTATGACGAAAATTTTACAGAAACATTAGATCGGTCGATCTCCCAATACAATTGTACGGGAAATGTAACGCGTTCCCCGAAAATGCTGTGATTTCACACACAATCAACCCTTCCATTTGCTATAGTAGTCGGTAATGTTGTTTCCACTAGGGGGAGAAAATGGTGGACGTGATCTGCATAAGACGCGCCTTCTATCGCTATCCTGCCCAACACGCGCAAGAATATAAGCAAATGGAGCACATTTGCGAAATGAAAATTCGGCCATTGTTGCAGTACATGACACTACGTGATAGACGCGACAATTTGAACTAGAGTTGTCTTTTCTCGGTTTAACGCGCGTAAATGGAAAATCGATAAGTTTCTTTTATTCCCCTTCCCCTTGTCCCTTTCCGTAATGTTAGAACATATTCTTTCGCACGTTGTCTCGTCTTTCTGTCCGAAATGATACGTCGGAACTTTTTCGATCGACCGGCTCGTCCCGGTAGTAATAGTTATTTTTCATAACTATGCAAAACGTTGGCCGTTTTGCGTGACGTTTTCGACCTACCGTCGGTTGATTGACCGCTGTTATTTTGTCATTACAGGGAAAATCATAGCGAAATCGAGAGGAGGAGAAGAAACAAGATGACTGCCTATATCACCGAACTGTCCGACATGGTTCCCACTTGTAGCGCCTTAGCCCGAAAACCTGATAAATTAACCATTTTACGGATGGCCGTTGCTCACATGAAAAGTCTACGAGGTTCGTACACAAATTATTTATAGAATAATGTGTATTTTATTAGTTTTTTTTCTATATTACTGATACATGACCTATAACTAGTCGAAATTCGAGATTGCTGAGAAATATAGTAATAAATGTTTAGTAGAAATTTTGGGGAGAAAATTGCCGATTTAGAAATGACGGATGCTCTCATGGAAGACCTAAAGCAATGCCATTTGTCATTCCAAACTGAAGCAATATCATTACGTGTCAAACATCGCCGACGTGTCGTAACAACATTTCTTGTAAACTATCAAATTATTGATGAAATCTATTAAGCCTATAGCAACTTAATGACTGTATTCCCAATGTTTTATACATTATTCTACACTATAAACGTACCTTTTTTAATATTAAATTCATTAAAAATAAAGGCTTAACCGTTATACTTGTAAAAATTGAATATTTTTTACTACTTCTAACACTTGTAATAAAATAATACGCCAATGGATTCGCACGCTAAACGCTGATTTGCCCATTCAAAATGATGTAACATTGCACCTTATAACTAATTATTACACGCTTCGCAATTTATGGAACTATTGTCGAATTCTCAACATGGAATAACCAATTGTACGACGAACTAATTGAGAGAAGTAGTACCTGGAAATCACTTTACCTGCCCCTTTTGTATAGAAAGTATCGATCGACACTTGTGTAAAGTGAAAGGGGGTGGGTGAAAAATTGTTGCGTGTTGCATATATTAAGTGTAACGGCACACTGGCGCCATCACCGACCCCTCCTTTGTCTGATATTTTGTTCTCTAGAATCTTTCTAGTTCGTATTTGCTGAGAAATTCGCATTACACATGTTTTTGTCTTCGGTTACATGGATTATCGAATTATATCATTAAAAAAGTAAACAAACAAGCATGTTTTTGTCTATCTGTAAAATACATAATTTTTCTTTTATCATTCGATAGTTTAAAACAAATAATAGTTAATCTCTAAGTCCGATGACATGTCTTGAATAAACATTTATTCGTTGTAAGAATACTACGAATGTTTCTCCTTTGCTTTAACGTAGCGAACCGATTCTAGCATGCTTTTCCTTGTTGTGTCTATTCTCATCGTTACCAAGGCAACAAAGTTCAACTATATAAAGGGGAGTAAAATAAACACGGAAAGGATAATTTGAATCATTTCCTCTAGAATAGTTTATTGATTATAGCTTTAATCAATTTATTACTGATTTGAAACAATTGTTATATAAATTATTTACATCATTAATTTCTGATTAGCAAAAATCCTGAGTTCTCTATATTTTACACCTTAAACCAATCTTTCTTTCTACCATATACAGTGTTGTTTTTTTATGAAATCTCTTTCAGTAGATGCTATTTTAATAATTATTGTTATAGTTTTAAAGTCGTAGATATGTTTGTTATGTAATTGTTTTTATTGTTTACTTTTTATCCTGTCATTTGACTGATTACAATCAGACAGCTTTGTCAATAGTTCTAGAATAAATGTTGTTGAACTGGAATAATTTGTTTTGAATGCTTTTAGTATTTTTTTATTTTGTGTTTTGTAACTTAATTCTCTTACTCTTTAAATTAAATAAATAATTTTTGGTATAATAATTTTTTGTGCGCTTTGAAGAAACTTGCTTGAAAAGTTTACTGTAATTTAAACTGATCTTTTAATTTGAAATTAATAAAATGAAAAGAATATGTAAATATTATATCCAATAAATGCATAATAAGGCTGGATTAAGTATCGGGCTAGAACTTGACTAATTAATTTCATAGATACCTTTAATCCAAATTACATTGTATCTTGTATTAAATTTAATAATTATATTAATTTTGGATTAAATTATTTTAAAATAATTTAGATTATTCTGGATGAAAAGATCGATTCAAAAATTAATATAATTATTAAATTTAATACAAAATGGCGACTTGACCGCTTATTCTCAGTCCAAATTACGTAGTATCTATGAAATTATTTAGCCAAGTTCTGACCCGATGATTAATTCAGCCTTATCATTTGACCGTTGTATACAATTTAAAAATGTAATATGCAATTGAAAAATATAATTATTTCTATTTAAATGATGTTATCATAACATATAATGAAATTTTTATAATACGAAAATAATTGGTACCGATGAAGAATTCTGTAAATTGAAATTTCGACCCACTCTTCAATTCACCCCTTCTATTGTTTATGACAAACGTAGAAAACAATGCAGACATGGGAGCTGATCTCCCCGTTTTCGCGTTATGACGTAAGAAGTGGCAACGCGTTTTTAATCTTCGCGAAGTCTGTAAATTGAAATGTTGACCTCCTCTTCACTGCAATTGGTCATACTACATACTGAAAACAATGCTCCCCATTCTCTAGTTTTGAGGGAAAATATCTGCAACATAATACAGTAGAGCGTCGATTATCCGAAAGAATTTCAGTCGGCAAATTTAAATTTTCGCTAGTGCTGTGGCGCTGCAATCTTTGGCTATATCTTGGGCTACTCAAATATCTTACGTTTTTGATACTAACTTAACTTCTAAAGTATAACTTTTTATTGTTTTTATATTTTTCAATATATTTATTTTATTTGTACAAAATAAAAAAATAATTTTTAACGATACAATAGTCTTCGTTAGGCTTAACATCGACGAAAATTCAACGCGAAGCGACACGCAACGGAGAAAATTTTCAAAATCGGATAAGTTAAACTATTTTTCGTGCACAATCGGTTATCCGAACAGTTCCAGTCCCCAATTGATTCGGATAATCGACGCTCTACTGTACTTCAGTTTGGTACGTTCGAGACGCGCAAGATGACGCGTAGCAATGTTATAATCTAATTGTATAAAATTTGTGTTATGTAACTTAACTGCTCATGTGAATAACACTTGTGACGGTTTAATAGATGTTTCCGTGGGAGTGCTAAAATGAGGGGGAGGAGAGTACGATCGAGACTGCGTATCGTCGATGACTTTGTGTGTTTTTCGTATCGTATACGTAAAACAAAGAATATCGCCTATATAAGTTACATAATGTGTATATTGTGTGTGTGTGGGGGGGATTAGGTTAGGATAGAAGCCGTTCGTCATACAAGGGGTCGCGTCGTTACTGAATTACATATTTCTTTGTGATTCGGTAACGACGCGACGCCAAAGAAGATTGCCTAAGTGCAGAATATATTATTTTGCAGAAATTTTTCCCAGAACTCAAGAACAGGTATTCAGTCCTCCTCGCAACATTGTTATCTATATGTGGCGTGGACAATTGAAGAGAGCTCCAACAGGGGGCTTAAAATTTCAATTTATAGAATCCTTCACTCTATTATTAATAAAAGTTATTATCGGAGGAGGAAAAGGGATTCTCTCTCATTTTTTGCTATTTTGAAATTTTTTTATAACATAATGAAAAGACATGAATTATAACAAAAACAATTTTTAATATGATAGATGATAATTATTTCTCAGCATACAAAATTATCCAAATGTGGGTTATTTCCACTGATGGTTCTTTCTCAATTATTGAAGATTGAAATTTTATTTTTATAACAATTATATTTGAAATATTCATACAAATGTGGTTTTACAAAGGGTACAAAAGTTTTCATCAAGATTTAAGATAAATTAGAAGATTCAAGAAGGTTTTGGAATGTATCCACTAATTTTTATTGTGTTTTTTTTTAACCCTCTTTCAATGTTAGATATTCCATACTTTAGAAAACATATTTTGATAATAATAATAACTGACCTAAAAATTAACAAGAAAGCAATAATGAGTTATTTTTTATTAACTGATTTACTTGCATTGATATTGTTGAACCAAATACACTGCAAATATTATTAAATAATTAGAGTTGTTTTATTTTTTCATATTAAAAGTAGAGATGCCACGAATATTCGGCTACTATTCGGTATTCAGCCTATTCGGCTACTTTTTTTAATATTCGGTATTCGGCCGAATAGTACGCAACATTCGGCCGAATACCGAATACCAAATCATGAAAAAAAAACCGCACATATTACTCAAAAACGTATTTATTTTAATCATAAATTATTACATTTAATACTTAAAATCTATCAGTGGTAAGTTGTAATGAATGAAAACAATTTTTTCAGCATTTGTTGATAGCAAACGATTGCGCTTTTCCTCATAAACTATACCTGCTTCTGAAAATAGCCTCTCACTATATACACTACTGCTGGGAGACGATAGATAAATCTTAGCGAATTCTGTCAGGCTTGGATACTGTTTTGCGTTTGCTGACCACCACTTGTAAAGGTCTGCCGTCCGATCTAGGCGAACAGTTTTCATATAAAGTGATACAGTGATATTTTTTAGTAATAATTAGTAACGCAATTTGATGTAACAATGAACAAATAATGCATGTTGTGATATGATCTACTCGCAAATAAAACAAATGTGCCCGCAGTGTCGCTACCGCACCCACTGTAATGTATCAGGTCGTAACATATCACCCGCAAAATGTACACATATTTTGCCGAACATTCGGCTTCGGTATTCGGCAAAATCACTATTCGTGGCATCACTAATTAAAAGAATACCATGAGGTTACAACATTCAACATTATCAACGTCCATTTGCATATCAATTATTTGTTAAAATTTATTCAACTGAATTCTTTATTATAATGTTTTGTCAAACAGTAAATATAAATATTTTTCAAATTAAATTAAATTAAAACAATTATGTTAGCCATTACATATTATTTACAGAAGATACAAGGCAATTCAGATAAAATCATCTTACTATGCCAGTGTTTTTCAATTTTTTTTATCTCACAGCACACTTGAACCTATAATAAAATTTCCATTGAAAAAAAATCATGTGATTTAAAGTTGTGTTTGTAAATATTCCATCACCATATTACTTGCCACTTAACCTAATTCTTTTTATCTATATTTATTGTGAATTAAATAAAGCAGTGTTGTTGTTCCTTGAAATAGCAACAGGTTACAATAATAGTTATTTAAATTAATAATTTTCTTTTAC